AATGAGTTATTTTCCAATCCTGAAGCCACATTCTTCTTCATATAACCCAGCTCCACAGATCTGCTCAGCATACAGATTGAATCAGTATAGTGAAAGGCTTTAACCCTGACACACACCTTTCTTGATTTTAAACCACTCAATATGACTGAACAAGTACCTCTTGGTATATGTGCAGGTTCCTCCTGAATACAATGTAAGTGTTTTGGAATTATCTATCCTTTGCAATGTTAATCATAGTTTGTTGTGATCCACACAGCTGAATGCCTTTGTAGAGTCAACAAAGCACAAGTAAACATTTCTGATATAGTCTGCTTTCAGCCAAGACCCATCTGACACCAGCAATGATATTCTTAGTCCCATGCCCACTTTTGAACACAACTTTATATGGATCTTTTCCAATCTGTTGTCTAGGTAGCTAGCTCTCTTTCACATTTCTTGGCATAGATGAGTGAGTAGTACCTCCAGCACAGCATCAGTTTATTGAAACATTTCAACTGGTATTCTATCAATTCCTGGAGCTTTGTTTTTCTGTACAGTTTAGACTTCTTCCTTCAGTACCATCATTTCTTGATTATATGCTACCTTTTGAAATGGTTCAGCACTAACAAATTCTTTTTGTTACAGTGACTCTGTGTATGTATACCTTCCATCTTATTTTGATGTTTCCTGCATCATTCAATATTTACCCATAGAATTCTTTAAATATTGCAACCTGAGGCTGGAATTAAGTCTTTTAGCTTGGGAAATGTTGAGTTCCTTTTTTGTTTTTCTAATTCCAGATTTTTGCATATTTCATCATAATAGTTTACACCTTGACTTCTTGAGCTGACCATTGAAATTTTTTGTTCAGCTTTTACTTCATTTCTTCTGGTTGCTTTAGGTTTTCTATGCTCGAGTGCAAGTTACATAGAATTCCCATAGCATTTATTTCACTGTTAATTTAGTATTTTTTCCCCTCCAAATGTAGATTGGAAGATAGGAATACATACATTCTATGAAGTTTGGTTATTGAAAACCAAGAACGTTCTACAGCAAGACTGGCTTTTTATAGGATAGCCTACCCAAATGTTAATGTTGTATGACTAAAAAACTTTTAAGATTTTTACAATAAAGGATATATAATGGTCAGGCAAAAAATATTGCTACAAAATCATAGAAACATTCAACAAAAATATAAAAATGTGAAGCTGTTTCTCCACATATTCTCCATTTAGGTCTTCATACTTCTGAAAGTAGTGTTTCCACCTCTCTAACTCTTCCCTGAAGAATTCTGCACTCTGATTTATACCAAGTCAAACCAGCAGTTTTGGCATCCTTGAGGGACTCAAATTGTGTTCCTTTTCAATGTTCTCTGGGCTTTGGCAACGAAACAGTCAGAGGCAAGATCAGGGCTGTAGGGTGGATGGGATACGTTTTCCCAATGAAATTCTTGTAGGACAGCCTTTGTTACACTAAAAGAATGAGCAAGTACATTGTTGTGATGAAAAAAAAAAAAATCCTCAGTGCAACTTTCCTGGCCTTTTTCTCATCAACATAGTTTTTAATTTTATTAAAATTCTTCCCAATGAGTCTCCAGAATCGTCCAGTGTCCTTCAAGAAAATCTATCAAGATTATTCTTTTGGGACCCTAATGACCATAATCTTCTGAGTTGACCTCTCTAGAATGAATTTAACTGGCCCAGTAGATCACCTTGGAAGCCACTAGTTTAACTGGACTATTTTTTCTTTGAAGGTGCTCTAATGAGACTAATACAAGTGTATTATTTGTATAAAAGAACTTGTCTGTAGCTATCCACTGATCACAGACACATGTTTCAACACATTTTATTTAAAATAAACACATGCATGTAAGAAGTGGAACCCTAGTAGCACTATTTCTTGACAACCTAGTAAACCAGAGCTCTTCCTCCTTCTGGAACAAACATTATCAACAGTTTATTTTTTATATACCTATTTTTTCATTTGGAATCCTGGTGCGGCACTGTACGATAAGCACTGGACTGAAAACTGCAAGGTCAGTGGTTCAAATCCACCAGCTGCTCCTCAGAAACCCTATAGGTCACTGTGAGGTATAACCAATTCAATAGCACTTAACAACAATTTTTGATTCATCAACTTCATACTACATTTAGTTTTTTGAGTCCCAACTATGGAAGATGAGTCTCATATTTATTACCCTTTCCTTCCTTCAGCTTCCCATTTCTGTTATATTATTTTCCACTGTCAAGGTTAACAAGTTCCATTCTATAATTCAGTCTTATATGTTTTGTCTATTAGTGGATTCTACAATCTATAAATGAATAAACAGTATTTACATTAAGACTATGTTCACTATTAGAATGGCCACAGAAATGGAAATATTCCATGTCTACAGAACTATGAACTGAATGAAAACAAAATCCACTGCCAATGAGTTGTGTCTGACTCATAGTGACCCTGTATAGGGTTTTGGAGGCTGCAAATCTTTATGGGAGTAGAAAGCCTCATCCTCTCCCAAGGAGCAACTGGTCAGTTTGAAATGTTGACCTTGTGGCTAGCAGTCCAGTGCTTATTATAGAATGCCACACCAGGGCTTCACTAATCTAATATAGACCAAAAAATGACCTAAAAAGCCAAACAGGCATACAAAAACATTTACTGAGCACTGTAGGATAAACACTAGACCATTAACTGCAAAGCTGGCAGTTCATACCCACCAGGGGCTCTGTGGGAATAAGATGAGATTGACTGGGTCACTGTAAGCTGGAGTTGACTTGATGGCAGTCGGGTGGGTTTGAATTTGGTACTACGGGGGTTACTAACCTAAGCACTCTGCACAGATCACATTATTTAATCTTCAAAGCAACCCCTAAGGAGGGACTTATCAGACCAATTGTGCAAATAAAAACTGAGGCTAATGGTATATAACATGCCACAGGTCTGTTAGTATGGAGCAAGCAGGAATCTGACTCCAGGTACAGTTCCGGACCTGCACTCCTAATTCCTTTATTGCTGGCTCATATTAATGACTCTTTCACTTTCTTTTTCCTAGCAACATCTAACTGGTACACTGAAAAGCAGAGGGAGTCAGTTGTTCCACAAAGCAGATCTTAAAATCACTCCACCTAAATAATTTAACTTGTTTTGAACTACATGTTTTCAACCAAATCTTTTTTAAATTATTAAAATGGCAATAAACTCAGCCTTTTTATTCTACAAATCCAAGAAGAATTAAGAGCTATGATTTATACCTGGATTTCACAAGGGATATGGGGAGCACAGTGGCTCCATACAATAAGCACTGGACTATGAACCACAAGGTGTACAGTTCCAGCCTACCAGCTGCTCCATGGGAGAAAGATAAGGCTTTCTGCTCCCTCCAAGATTTAAAGCCTCAGAAACCCCATATAGGTCTAAATGTGACCTGTTCCCATATCACATAATTTCCTGTCCACATATTAAAAACTTGTTAAGTGCCATCAAGTTGGTTCCAACTCATAGTGACCTGTATAGGGTTTCCAAGGAGTGGCTGGTGAGCTTGAACCTCTGACCCTGCAGTTCAAATCGACTTTGCAGTGCAGGGCATTAACCCACAGCACCACACGGAAACTATAAAATAGAATTCTCCAAACAGTTGTCCAACGTATAAACTCAGGACTGAAACACTAAAAAAATGAAACTTCCTTGAGGATACAGTTATGTCTTTTATCTCTGATTATATTTTTCAATTGGGGATAATAGTTAAAATCGTTACTGAGTTACCCAATATGATATCAGACAAGTCAGAATAGTTGTTTCCTGCTACATTATATATAGTTTGTAGCCATACATAGGACTCAGTGTCACTCAAACTGTATTTTTAAAATGTGTTGGTGAAAAGCACTTCATTTTTAGACCAACACTCTCATGCTTCCCAAGCACAAATTAGCATATTAGTGGCTCCATCAACTTTAGACTACATTCTAAAGTGAGATGCTAAAGTTCACTCAAAAATGAAAACATCACAGGCCAGAATGTAAACCACACTCTCCTAATGCTCAATTCTCTAAGGCGAGAAGTCAAGCAAGGGTTTATAACCCCACACTTGATGCCATTTCAATCCAACAAAATCTATTGTTACACTGAGTGACGACTAGTTTAGGGTTTGTTTCACTAAAGTTGAGCTTCAATAAAGCAGCCAGTTCACCCAAACTCATCTACAACGCAGAACCCACTTGTAAAATAAAGTACATGCGCTTTCATACCGAACCGGCTTAACAGGGGATGTACATTTCAAGAGCTGCTCTAGAACTGAGGGCCCTGGTGTGGCGCTGCGGGTTAAAGAGTGGGACTGAAAAGTCAGTTTCAGCTGCAAGATCGGCGGTTCAAGCTCACCAGCCGCTCCTTGGAAACCCTAAACAAAGTCACTATGGGTCGGAACCGACTCGAAAGCACTTAACAACACTCCGATCTACCAGTTTTCCCAAGGTCCTAACTTTGTCGATATTTGTAATGTCTTTTTTCTTTTCATTTTTATTAATTTGTTTGCCTGTCACCCCCTTTAAACTGTGGGCTTCAGAATGGGCGAGGGTGTGACATTCATTGCTGTATCCCTAAGACCATCACGGTGCCGGGCACAGAGTAGGCTCTGACCGCTTGTGCGAAATTAACCACAGAACAAGAAAGTCCATGCCGCTGCACACAGGGAGGGAAATGGAGAAGGGGGCGTTTTAGTTGAGAGGTTAAGAAATCAATTATCCTTTAGACGAGAACTGCCTTTGAACCTACTAGGGCTAGAATGGAACATGTGAGGGCCGTCAGGAAGTCAGAATCAGGCATTAATTACAACCCTATTTCCTGTAACTCTTCACTGACCAGAGCTAGGCCGTCAGTCTTTAGGTCTCTGATTCCCTACCTCCAGACAGGGGTGGGAACACCAAGAGACTCAATTCGGATTCGATCCTGCTTTTCCGGATCAGACCCAGCAGCAACGCTAGCTCACACCCAGGACCGCGTCTGCGTCTGTTTGCTCCAGGCCGCACCATGACAGGGCAATTAGGATGGGCCACATGTAGGCCCGGTTCACTCACCTACTTGGTAGAGGCGGCCCTCGGGTGAAAAAATGGTAATGTGACGGTCAAAACCAGCGCTGGAACCACGGGACATGTTGATATGCTACTTCAGACAGTCTCCAGGCCCCAGAGCTCCCACACCAAACGACAAGCCCCTCTCGGAAATTATAGCGACTGCTTCCGGGGCACGGCTAGGCTTCTTCCGCTCCCGCACGCTGAATTTACGCCTCTAGCGTCACGGCGAGCAGGAGAAATCTCCGAGGCCCCGCCCCTACGGGGGTGGTACCGGGGCGGGGCGTGGTGGTGGTGGTGGTGGAGCAAGACCTTGGGTGTGCGCTTGCGCGAGACCAGTGTCTCAGTGGATTGAATATACCAGGTGGAAACCGGATTGTGGCAGTTTAGGGCTTTTATCTGTGTACAGCAAGAGCGGAAAAAGCTTTCTGGGGCCAGGAGTAAAGATTTGTCCATCAGTGAGCCCAAAATGGATTGTCTAATGAACATATCTCTCTTTCGTTTTGTCACCTGCACATCCAGACTGTGTCTGGATGGATTGCTGGGTTTATTTCTAACATCTTTACCCACTTAACTTCTTTTCTATGTGAGGAAATGCGTTCCAACTGTTTGCCTCTACCGTTTAAATTAGGCACGGAAAGGAGAGGGCACTAGAAAGAATTTTCCCCTGACCAAGCAAGATCTTGCTTTGACCAGCACCCCTGCAATTCTGTCTTAAAAATGGAACTTAGGTTGAAATATAGGTGTAATAAGGAAATCACAAGGTTAAGCAGCCTTGAATGATAATGAACAAAAAATGGAAGGGAAGAGGAGTATAGCAGGCTGGTGTTAGATGGATTAATGAGAGTGATTCCAGGCAGGCCCGGTAGGTCTGGGTGAACAGCAGGTACTTTTTCACATGGTAAAATTACACTTAATATGATTTTATCCCACGGTTGCACTCCTATTTAATAAATATAAAATGCAAAACATAACGTGAGTTTTTTTTCCAAATAAAGATGGTTGTGCACTAGGAAGGCCAGATACACCAAGGTTTCTGAAACTGTAATACTGAAATATTTCTTTAATGTATTTTCTCCTAAACTTTCCATTTTAAAGGTGGGGGGGGGGAGAATCATACAAATCTCATAAGGAAACCCTAGTTCTCAAGCATGTTTTATTTAAAACTTTCTATTCTTTTTTATTAATCTAAAGGAGATCCAAAACTGGTATGTGATTTAGAAAATATTAAATGCAAAGTGTTCTCTGCACATAATGTACTTTTCAGCATTAGTGAATTCCCAAATGTCCTGATAAAAGTTATATCCATTGTATACCTCCAAATTATGTGCTGACTTGGTTGGATCATGATTCTCTGTGATTTAGCAGTTATGGATCTTGGCTTAGAGGCGGGGTCCACCAATTTAGAGAGCCACAAGCCCAGCCCAAAGCGTCTCACTACAACCCAGTCGCCCCTGCTGTGCTTCTGCCTCTTGATTGACATCCAAGGACAGAAATCCCGCCTTTGAGCCAGACTTAACGGCCCTAGCACAAGGAGATTCCTATTTAACAGCAACCACGCAACCGCCACTCGTCTGTCTGTCGTGC